TAAAAGGGGGGTTTTTAGTATCGGGGCCTTTGCCCACCCCCAAAAAAATAAAATGAATTTCTTGGGAACCCTTTAAAAAACCTTTCCCCCCGGGGGAGTTGGCCCCCCACCAAGCCCAAAGGCCCCAACTCAAGACTTTCGGGGTTTGCTCTCAACTTTATTACGAGAGGGCGGGGGGGGGTAACAGCACAAACTGGAAATACCTTAGGAGACACACAGTTGAGATCTGGAGAATATCCTTGCTGGGGACACTGAAGGTTTGCTTCATAAAGACGTTTAAAATTTGCCATCTGCCCACCCCTTACTACCCCCGCCAAGTCATTCCCCCAAATCATGTGTACTCCCTCTACTGGCAACTGGGGTCTAAACCCCAACATCTACATCACCCCTCTACCAGACCCACATTTTAGGGTAACTTCATGTAAAGGAGAGTGGAATTAAACCCACACCACGTACCATTACACATCTGCCAGCATCAGACTCATTACAGAACGGCAACACAGACTCCAAAATAAAAGAATCTAAAAGCTCCGGTTGTCTCTTAAGATCTTGATTGAAACATTTTGGTTGCCGTCTACCAGGGACACTACACCATCTGAAATAAAGGCTGAAAAATCACAGTGGGAAGACTGAGAATCAAACTCAAACTAGTGGCTTGAAAAAACTGGTAGTTCAGAGGCTGTAACAGGAGCTGCCATTACAGCAGGTCTAACTTGACCCGACTTTATTTGATTTAAGGAGAGGACAATCTTTCTTCCAATGTCCTTCAACTAAACAGTAGCGACAGGTATTAGCATTAACCGGTGCTTTAAGTCCTCCAGACCCAAACTTCTGCTGAGGCCTTTGAAAAAAAGCTCCAAAATAAGGTCACCTACTATTCCTAGAAGGGAAGTTATTTTTATGGTACATGTCACTGTTTGACTCAAATGGCTTTTATGTGTTAGCCTGTACTCATCTGCAAGGACTGCTGCATCACCTGGAGACTTAACTTTACGTTCATTCATGTATGTAGCAACCTGGTCCAGACACAGAATTTTTGAACTGTTCTAACACAATCAAATTAGACAGACCCTCAAAAGTACTAACTTCAGAAGCTGTACACAACAATTAAATGCAGAAGTCAAATCACAAAACAAACTCAGAATAGGTTTGTGAATCTAACTTTTTCCTGTAACGAAAACGTTGACGATATGCCTCTGGCACAAGCTCGTAGACCTTCAGAACTGCTGATTTAACTTTATCATACACTTTACTGTCAGCTACAATCAGTGCTACAAAAGCCTCACGCGCTTTACCTGTAAGTACACATTGCAACAACATAGTCATGTCCAAATCTGACCAAGCTCCAGCTTCCGCAATACGCTCAAATAAAGCAAAGTATGTGTCTGGATCTGACTCGTCAAATTTATGCAACAAACAAAGATTCCGTGAAACGTCAAACTGTGGTAGTCCCTCTGGTCTATTAGCATTTCTCCAACTGCATATGCAAACAGCTCCCTCTGCTGGTCAAAAGTTAACGAAGGACTAGACTGAAAACTTGTACCCTCAATACTTGCAGATTGACACGAAAAAACACCCATTTCCATAAGACCCTGCTTTAATTTAGCATTAACAGTCTCTTTAATTTTTTTATCAACAATCTCAATCTGATAATGTTCAGCAATTTCAATTAACTGCTCCTTAGTACACAACTCTAAGGCTACCTCTGAAGGAGCTTGAACAAAACCACTCAGAATATAAGACATTTTACTCAACCAATACAACCAATACAAATGCTCCAAAACCAAAACAAATACACAA